ATACCTTAAGTAGGTCACAGTGACCTACCTTTTGATTGAAATTTTCTGAGGACTCAAGATACATTAATTGACAAAGACTGATGATTCTAATTAAATAAGTACCTGAGATATTCAAAAGTAGGTCACCATGACCTCCTTTTTGGCCAACATTCTCTGAAAACCCAAATTGCATCATCTGACAAAGTTTGACGATTCTAAGCCAATTAGTACCAGAGATAATTAAATATAGCCATCAAATGTCAAAAGTAGGTCACGGTGACCTACTTCTTGGTCGACATTATTCAAAAACCCATAATGCCTAAACTGACAAAATTTGATGATTCTAAGCCAATAAGCACCTGAGATATTCAAAATTATGTCACTGTGCCCTACTTCTTGTTGGACATTCAACGAAACCCTAAGATGCATCAACCGACAAAGTTTGATAATTCCCGAGCCAATAAGTACCAGATATAATTAAATATAAATATATAAATATAATTTCTGGTCGACGTTCTCAGAAAACCCAAGGTGCCTAAACTGACAAAGTTTGAAGATTCTAAGATAATACATACCTGAGATATTAAAAAGTAGGTCACTGTGACCAACTTTTTGGTTGAAAATCTCTGAAAACCCAAGATGCATCACTGACAAAGTTTGATGATTTTAGGTCAATAAGTACCAAAGATACAAAATTTTAGTCACAATATGTCAAAAGTAGGTCACCATGACCTACTTTTTGGTCGTCACTATCCAAAAACCCAAGATGCATCAACTCACATAGTTTGATGATTCTAAGCCAATAAGTACCGGAGATACTTAAATAAAGCCATAAAATGTCAAAAGTAGGTCACCGTGACTTACTTTTTGGTCGTCACTCTCCGAAAACTAAATATGCATCGACTCACAAAGTTTGATGATTCTAAGCCAATAAATACCTAAGATATGTAAATATAGCCATAAAGTGTTGAAAGTAGGTCACCGTGACCTACATTTTGGTTAACATTTTTCAAAGACCCAAGATGCATCTACTGACCAAGTTTGATGATCGTAGGTCTGAAAGTAATCAAAATATGCGTTTTAAACAATTTGAAAACAAATGTCGGCAAAATTCAAAAAGTAGGTCACAGTGACCTACGTACTTTTTCATAAATGTTTTAAGGTCCCAAGATGCATCAAAGTACAAGATTTGATGATTCTAAACCTCCCAGTGTCTGAAATAATGGGATTCGATGTTTTTAAAAGGATAAGTCATAAAGTTCAAAAGTAGGTCAGGGTGACCTACTTTTAAGTTGACGTTGTTTGAGGACCCAAGATGCATCAACTCACAAAGTTTGATGATCATAGGTCTTAAAGTAATCAAAATATGCCATTTAAACAATTTAAAAAACAAATGTCTGCAAAATTCAAAAAGTATAGGTCACAGTGACCTACTTCTTCATAAAAATGTTTTAAGGTCCTGAGACGCATCAAAGTACAAGATTTGATGATTCAAAACCACCCAATGTCCGAAATAATGGGATTTAATGTTTTTAAAAGGATAAGTCATAAAGTTCAAAAGTAGGTCAGGGTGACCTACTTATAAGTAGACATTGTTTTAGGACCCAAGATGCATCAACTGACAAAGTTTGATGATCATAGGCCTTAAAGTGTCCAAATCATGCCTTTTAATCAATTTGAAAACGAATCCCCGCAAAATTTAAAAAAGTAGGTCACCGTGACCTACTTTTGAGTTAACATGATGAGAAGTCATAAGATGCATCAACTTACAAGATTTGATGATCCTAGTCCTTATAGTAAGCAAAATACATGTATACACGTTTTTATTAATTGTAAATTTAGGTCAACTTTAAAGTGACCTTGAGACCATGCCCTTTGCCAAAGGGTAATTCCCCTTGCAAATTTTAAATCTTCGACATACCCTGATCCTTGTATGTAAGTTTGGTGAAAATCTGCCAAGTGGTTATGGAGAAGATTTTTTAGCAACCAGTACTTTTGGTTTTGTTTTCCTGATTATCTCCCCTTGTTTAAAGGTCCCAACCCTTATTTTAAAATAAATGGTAGCCCTTGGGCCAGGGATACCCTGTGACAAATTTGGTACTGATTGGCCAAGGGGTACTTGAGTTATGGCCCATATTCTAAAAAGTTTACGCACACCGGACACCGCATAAATGGCCATTACATTAGCTCTTTGAGCCTTTGGCTCAGAAGAGCTAAAAATCGATATGACTAATATAAATATGACTGTAATATTGATCTTACTCTCTTTATATTTACATTTGCAAATATCTTTCTTAGATGAACTTTTTGAACATCGATGAACCTATTGAAGCCCTTTTGGGCTTCACAGGATTTGACCAACTAAAAGTTCATTTCCCAGAGAACTTTTTAACATTGTTGTTTATTTTTTAAAAAAGATATTTCTAAAAGATTATTTCATATTTATATGTAACTATTTTTTAACTGGTCCCTAACTTTTATTTCCACCAAGAACCTTGTGCTTAAAATTTGACTTAACTTAAATCCAGATGTCAACATGATAGTGCTACATTGTATAGATAAGATTTTTAGTCTCTGTAACTTTCTAAAATAAAGGAATAGGATTTTCCTGATAATATGCACATCTACACATTGTTTTCTTAATGTCAGCAAAGTTTGACGTCAAATTCTGTGCAGCGGTTTATGAGGAGATGGGCTGACAAACTGTTCAACTCTATATTCAAGATATGAACAAGAATCTAAGTTAAAAAGTGCTGAAATTTCCAGAAAAATAACGGAATTGGAATTTCTTGGTAGTACACATATATCTACACATTGCGTCCTAAATATCTGCAAAGTTTGACAAAATTCTGTAAAGCGGTTTATGAGGAGTTGCACTAACAAACAGTTTATCTCTATATACAAGCTATGGCCAAAAATATATGTATATATACGATATTCCCAGAACAAGAGGCCCATGGGCCTTATAGGTCACCTGAGTATCATGCAACAACTTTCCAGTGATTGAATTTGGTTTTTATTTTAAGCCAGATGCTATGGCATTCACAATTTTGAAAGATGAACCATTGCTAATCATACCTATATACTTAGCAAATTGCTTAGTTTGGTTACTTGATACCCATAGGCAAGGTAGGGGAACAAAAAATGCATTTCAACTAATCAGTAATATTCATCAATAATCAGTAGTGCCCCTACCACACATGAACCCCTGACCCTAGGTCCACATATTGCACAATTTTTGAAAAGGCACCCTTGCTTATCAAAAATATTTGATTAATACAAACTTACAGATTTCAAACAATTCATTTTCAGTATATAAGAGTAGAAGCAGCCCCCCATCCCCCACCCCCCCTCTATGGTACCCCTGACCATGGGGCCTTGCATTTCACAATTCTGGAAGAAGGGCTCTTGCTCATCATAACTATATAAGTAGTTCATCTGCTTAATAACCTGGATCAGAGACGAACATTTTCAAAGATTCATGTACATGTTTTTTCACTTCATAATCAATAGAACCCCACCCTAACACCTGAACCCCTGATCCTAGGGCCTTGAATTTCACAATATTGGAAGAGCACTCAAGTATGTACTTAATTAGTTTATTTAATACCCAGGAGCAGAGAGGAAGATTTTCAAAGAATTCATGTATTTTTACTACATAATCAATAGAGAGCCCCGCTCTAACACCTGAACTCCTGACCCTTGGGCCATAAAATTCACAATTTTGGTAGAGGCACTCTTGTTCATCATAACTATGTATTTAATTAGTTTATTTATTACCCAGGAGCAGAGAAGAAGATTTTCAAAGAAATAATGCATTTTCTCTATATACTTGATTTAGCCCCACCCTAGCAACAGAACCCCTGACCCTGGGGCCATGAATTTCACAATTTTGGTAGAGGACTCAATGCCGATTACAATCATGCAAACAGTTTGACTGCTTGATGTCCAGGAGTAAAGAGGAAGATTTTTAGAGATTGCATTAATTTTAGTGGTTTTGGCCCCAGGGGGGCAGAGGTCATGAAATTTACAATTTTTGTTCCCCTTCACCCATAGATGCTTTGTACCAAATTTGGTTGAAATTGGTTCAGTGGTTGCACAGAAGAAGCTAAAAATGTTAAAAAGTTAACGACCGACGTACAACTGACAACGATGGACGAAAAGAGATAGCAATAGGTCACCTGAGTTTACTCAGGTGACCTAAAAATAAAGGAATCCAAATTTCATGGTAATATACACAGTCATGTAAACATTGTGTCCTAATTATGTGCAAAGTATTCTGTGCAGCAGTTTATGAGGAGTTGCGCTGACAAAACAGGACTGACACACTGACAGACAGGTCAAAAACATTAGACATAACTCTATCCAAAATGGCTTGATTGTGCCCAAAACAGATCTTGACCTAGATATTTTTCTGATAAAGCTGTATACAAAATTTCATTTCAATATGTGCAACATCTGAAAAGAAAATGAACGGAAACCGCACATAATTGGATTTTTTCTAAGTCCAATGGGGCATAACTCTGTCCAAAATGACTCCATCCTTCCCAAAACATGAACTTGGCCTAGATGTTCTTCTGATAAATCTGTAAATGTATTTTCATTTCAATATGTGCAACATCTGCGAAGAAAATAAACAGAAACTGATGGTGGATAGACAGACCAACCAACATTTTACACAGATCATAAAATCTTCATTACAATAACACTGTATCATAAGTATATGTAAAAGAAGAAGTTGGAATGAAACTAAAACATTATGAAAACAATTAAGAAAACTAGAAATATGTCTGTAGAACATGAATGCCCCGCCGAGGGTATATTAGTAATGCAACATGAAAATTTGTATGAAAGAACAAGATTCACTTATGGCCTTATTTGGCCCTGTGAATATTTGAAAAATTGAAACTGCTTTTAGTTAACAATGCATTAAATATCACTTAAATCTTTGGTGATTGTGTATCTATCAAAGATGACGTTGTTTTCTGGCTAGTCAATGCATTATGACGTCACGAAATGCGTCAATTTCCTCCTATTCTGAAAAAGTCTGCAAAAATGGCCAATTTGTAAAGCTATTTTTCAACATTTAATATAGAGCGCAACCTCTGACCTAAAATATGCAACTAGTAAATAATAGAACTTTTTCTGAGGATTAAAAGACAAGTTTTATTTTCTAGATCAAAGAGTGTGCTCATATTAATATAGATTGCAGTTAAGTGTGAAGTTTTATGTTACGTAACGTAACGATCTAGTTTGACAGCTGCGCTCAAGGTGAATAGTACACGCCTCTTAACTGCAAGATTTACGACTGGAACTTTCTTCTAATTGCTGATTGGTTGCTTGTACAACAGTTTATTTCTGTGTCAATGTTGATAATATGAGTTGACCAATCACGTGAATTGTTTACGAATTTTGGATAGTTTCTTTGAAACTGAGCTTTGAACTGAGCTAAATGCAAAGTGTGATGGAAGGACGGAAGGACAGCTAGACGGAAGACGGACATGACAACACTGTATGCCCTGGCCATATTCATGGTGGGGCATAATAATTAGATTGCCCTTATATAGATTTTAATACCACATATAAATGTACATATACTCTTATAAATGACTACATGTATATATTATTACATACAAAAAAAACAAGAGGCCCATGGGCCACAAAACACACCGGAGAAGCTTTTAACAATCCCTTCTTTACCAGATTTCCCCCAGGGATCATGATTAGAACAATTTGACCCCACCCTACCCCACTGATCATAATTTAGACAATTTGAAATCTACACTACCATAGGATGCTTTGATTCCTCATTGTAAAACTTTGATTCCCCACTGTGGCCCCTCCCTACCCCCGGGGGTCATAATTTGAACAATTTAGAATCTACACTACCCAAGGATGCTTCCACATAAGTTTCAGCTTTTCTGGCCCAGTGGAGTTTTTAAGCTATTTTTCCTATATTTCTATGTAAAACTTTGATTGTTGCCCCACCCTACCCCTGGGGACCATGATTTGAACCATTTAGAATCTACACTCCCCCAGGATGCTTCCATATAAGTTTTAGCTTTTCTGGCCCAGTGGTTCTTGAGAAGAAGATTTTCAAAAATTTTTCCTATATATTTCTTTGTTAAACTTTGATTCCCCTATGTGACCCTTCCCTACCCCCGGAGATCATGATTTTAACAACTGAGAATCTACACTATCCCAGGATGCTTTCATGTAAGTTTCAGCTTTTCTGGCCTAGTGGTTCTTGAGAAGAAAATTTTCAAAGTTTTTTCCTATATATTTCTATGTAAAACTTTGATTTCCCATTGTGGCCCCGCCCTACCCCCGGGGGTCATGATTTGAGCAATTTAGAATCTACACTAAGCCAGGATGCTTCCACATAAGTTTCAGCTTTTCTGGCCCAGTGGCTCTTGAGAAGAAGATTTTTTAATGACCCCACCCTATTTTTTTCTTTTCTTGATTACCTCCCCTTGTGAGGGAACTTGGCCCTTCATTTTAATAAATTAAATTCCCCTTCACCCAAGGATGCTTTGTACCAAGTTTGGTCAAAATTGGCCCTGTGGTTCTTGAGAAGAAGATTTTTAAAGATTTTTTCTTATATGTTTCTTGTAAAACTTTGATTTCCCATTGTGGCCACGCCCAACCCCTGGGAGTTTCAGCTTTTCTGAGCCAGTGGTTATTGAGCAGAAGATTCTTAATGACCCCACCCTATTTTTGTCTTTCTTGATTATCTCCCCTTGTGTGGGGGACTTGGCCCTTAGTTTCACAATTTAAATTCCCCTTCACCCAAGGATGCTTTTTACCAAGTTTAGTCAAAATTGCCCCAGTGGTTCTTAGAAGAAGTTGAAAATGTGAAAAGTTTACAAAAGGACAGACAGCGGACGGCTTGAGGACGACAGACAAAATGTGAACAGAAAAGCTCACTTGAGCCTTCCATTCAGGTGAGCTAAAAACTTTGAATTTTCACTGCCTGAGGATGCTTCCATATAAATATGAGCAATTATGGCTTTGTGATCCTTGAGACAAAGACTTTTAAAGAATTTTCCTACATATTTCCATGTAAAATGTCAGTTTTGGCCATTGTGGCCCCACCTTACCCCTGGGGGTCATGATTTGAACAAACTTTAGTAGATATACTACCTGAGGATGCTTCCCAATTATCTCCCCTTGAAAGAGGGCCTGGCCCTTCATTTAAACAAACTTGAATCCCCTTCACCCAAAGATACTTTGTGGCAAGTTTGGTTGAAATTGGCCCCGTGGTTCTTGAGAAGAAGTTGAAAATGGGAAAAATTTACAGACAGACAGACAACCTGACAGACAGATAGACAGGCAGACACCAGACAAAATGTGATCAGAAAAGCTCACTTGAGCTTTCGGCTCAGGTGAGCTAATAAAATGCAGAGATGTATGTCAAGGGATTGCTTAGAAAAATTAATGAATTCAATGCATGTACATGTACCTTCTTTTTCAGTCCTTTTGGATTCCACTTCTTCAATACAACTGACTACATTTTGGAATTCTGCTTCATCAGAATGACACAGTATAATTATCAAGCCATCTGGGGGTTTTGGTGCACAGTCTATGATACGCTTAACAAATTTTTGAACTGGCCATGTGTGATTATCCTTCAAATCAAAGCTCACTGACTTTTTCTTGTATTTGGTGACCTCTTGGAAGAAAGGCACTAAAACACTGTCCATTTTATGTTTTTCTCTATTCTCCCCTTCTTGCCATAATGGATATTTCATGAAAGCAGTTCTCTCATCTGGCTCAGGCCATTCAAAGTTCTTATCTACATGTACATTTAACATTAAATAACTGAATTGAAATACATTTTAAGTATGCACAAAAGAAAAGTTATTACTGCAAAGCTTATTAATGAGACTATATATTGAAGCCCAAAACAAAAGTTTTTAACATTCATTTTTTTTCTCATCAAATTTTGCATAGTTTAATTTGTCAGCTGCTTTAGTTATTCAGGCATTGGCAAGTAATTGAAAAACAAATTACAAAAAAAAAATTATTATGTTTTGCATTTTTTGTATATTGAAAAAAAAAATTACTCTCGATTATTACAGTAAAAACATGCTTATAACAAAGTGCCAGAGATGGCCAATTTTACTTTGTTACATGTATTAGCATAATTTGATATATAGTATCAAGTAAGTTTACAATATTATATATAGTATATATACTATATAGTATAGTATATATATTATATATAGTAAAACTATTTAGTGCGAACATGGATAATGCAAATTCACGGATCCGATATAGCAAAGTTATCATTGATCCCCAGCTAATTAATCAAAAGTCTGAAAGGCTTCAAGGGCGTCGAAAAAGAAAAACAATTTCAAAAGATCTGCAAATAGGTCAAGTGAGTGACTCCGGTAACATAATGATAAAATTTTTTAAAAAAAATAGTCTTAACACAAAGACAGTATAGGGCCTGATAGCCTTTTGTCCTGGTCCGAATGAGTCAGGGTTCGAATTGACCAGACATCGTCAGAAATGTCCATCCTCTAGTCCTATATCAATCAAATTTCTTTTCAGTCAATCGAAGACAAATGAAGGGTTTCATAAATTATTTTAATTAATTGCCACTGTCAGAGTGTTGTTCTGTTGTATAGTGATTGCATCTTTACTACAACCATGACTCTAATGTTACAAGTACGATCAACTTACGATAAGGCGCGGTAAACAAATGGAGGAAATGGATAAATACAGTAATACTGGCATTACTGGTCAATATCGTAGGTTGTTCGGCTAAAATTGGATTGAAGATCGTAAAAGTAAAGCTAAGATTAAGAAATTCAATCTTTATAGTCTTGTTGTATTCGTGTTTATTTTGTAATTATTTTACCATATTTAAATTCGTTTGTATTACTCAGAGACATATACGTCTCTGTAATACAGTAATCGGTCCAAAAATGTGATTCATGTCATATTCGACGCACCCTCTCAATAGAAATTCATCCGCAACAACCATAACTTTTTTTGCATAAACATTAAACATAATATTGTTGTTTTGTAGTAGTATTAATTGAAGATACAATTGATTTAATTTTATATTCAAGCTATTATTCATTGTGAACGTTTTAAAAGAAATCTGTTTATAGCTGTTGCTATTTTCTATTGCGGATGCATCCACTGACACATACGGTCGCGTAAACCTGACAGACTGATCCCTAGATGACGATCGGGCAAGCCCGACGCCATAAAAATAACCGATTCTTTAAACGGATATAACGAATTATGGATATAGCAAAGTACTTTCATAGGTACCAGTGACTCCATTATTACTGAGTTTTACTGTATTTTAAAGTCATAGAGAATGAAAATCACTTCCCTATGAGCATCAATCGTTATAAGCATGTTCACTATATGCATGCTTTACTGTAATTTAATTGGTAAGAGTTATCAGAAGAATACCTGTATTTTCAAGCTGTTGTGACTTGACATACACATCAGCAAATACATCATCCTCTTTGCCATTGTGGAGAACAAAAGCTGTCTTTCCTCTGATCCAATATCTAGCATGTTTATCTGGAGAATACTCATAGAAGCATTGATTTTCTGAAAGAAATTTCTTCACTTCAGGAGGCATAGCTTCAATGGGTAGCAAAATATGCTGTTCTTTCATACATATTGAAGCAATATACTTTTGCATTTCTTTCAAAGCTGTGGGTGAACCTGTCATTTCAATTTCAACCGTTCTTTTCAAAAATCTTAAGGCAATCTCATTCTTCCTCGCTTCTTCTTGAAGTTCTTCCTTGTGGAAGGTTTGAATCCATTTGAATGCTTTTTGGTCCAGATGCCAGGTATATTTAGTTGATATTTTTGCCTCAGCTTCATTCATAAACATTTTCAAACTTTCATTATCTTCAAGATCCATTGTATAGACAAACACAACCTCAAGTTTAGCTGGTTTTTCCTTTTTGCTGATTTTCATAGTAAATTTCTTTTCTGAACTTTGTTCAAGTTTGCTGGCTTCTTCTGTGCACCATTGCTCGAAATGCTCTATTTCTGGTGAATATGTGATGGAGTATTTCTTCCACCTGATGGATTCTTGCAAAACTTTTGCTATCTCTTTCTTCTCCTCATCTGTTTTCCCATATATAAGTAGAATTTTTGTGTTGGGAAGTTCTGCTAATTCACTGACTGCCCATGTGCCATTACATCTTATTCTACTATCAATAAAAGCCTGAACATTTTCTCTGGATAAAAAGAATTCAAAGCCTTCAAAGCCTTTGCATACTTCAGGTTTAATATCTTTCAACCAGTAATTATTTGACAAAAACTTGATGGCATCAGCACATTCTTTTTTATTCCCAATCACCTTGACTCTCATATCACACTTGTATATCTTAACTTGTGGGAAGATTTCAACTGCCTGTTCTATTCTATCGAAAACCTTGAAAAGACGCCACTGCAATGGGCTGCACTCAAATATATGATATGAAATTTCTTCGTTGCTCTCAGGACTCCATAAAGTAGCATTTTTCATGTGTCTTTGCAGGTCTAAAAGTAGGTCTATCACATTTTCTCCTCTGCCTAAAAGAAAAACTCCACAGATATCCCTCTCTTCAAATGCTGAAACAAAACCATCAATAACTAAAGCAGATTGTTTAACTTTTCCAGAAATATCTTGAATTTCTTCAGATGGCCCTTTGATAACAAGCAGCTGTAGATCTTTGAAGCAGTCATCTGTTAACTTTAAGCATTTTTCAACCCACTGATCAAAATCCTTTTCATGGGATTCTGAGCTGAATTCAACCATGATGTACCCAGATGTTTTAAGTTTTATTTCACTTTGCAGATCTTTCAAATGTTTTTTAATAATATTTTTTGTCTCTTTTCCTGTCATGAAGAAAGACCATTTCTTGAAATTATAATAATCACATGGATATTTTTTTGAGTCTTCTTTTCCTGATCTAAATGTGAAGACAACTACAAATAAAAAAAGATACACAATTAAATTAAATTTTTGGAGCAGTCAGACAACTTCAATGATTTTTTTTATCATTGTAAGCAGATAGCTCCGTTGGTAGAGCACCTAAAATTTGGAGTGCCTGCCTGGTCTGTGAAATATTTTTTATTTACTGTTACACTGTCTAGTACTTATTGGAAGAGGGACTATTAATTGGTCTATCATGTAAAAACTACAGATCAGAATTAAGGAACCATTGTATGGGGTATTAACTTGGAAAGACTTATTCACTAGAAAATCCAGGTCGGCCACCTGGTGCAGTGGTTAAAACATCAGACTCTGCTCCAGAGTCACGAAGTAAGGAGTTGATCCTTATGTCATGGGTTCGAATCCCACTGTGGGACTGGAGAACGGTCCTTCAGATGAGACCGGTGTTCTGTGTTGCAGTAGGTGCTGGCAAGAAAAAGATCCCTCACAGCTTGATGCCCCTGTCATGCCTAGCATATATAAGGACAAAATTTTCAGCTCTCCACCTGTGGTTTCTCCATATAAAATTCTTGAGAAAGACATACATTAAAACATACAATCCATTAGAAATGCACACAAA